GAGGGGGTCAGTGGGTGATGGAGGACGAGAGGGGGTCAGTGGGTGACAGAGGGCGAGAGGGGGTCAGTGGGTGACGGAGGACGAGAAGGGGTCAGTGGGTGACTGAGGGTAGGAAAGAGTACTAGGGGGTGAATGTTATCCAAGCATATCATAAATGTGTCTGGAAACAACATTGCAAGACTCGCTATTTTTGTATATTTAAAATATACTAATAAATATAAATATTTAAAAAGCTGGGCTTAGTAGCTCATTCCTGTGACTCCAGCATTTAGGAGGCTGAGGCAGAAGAATCACCAGGAGTTTAGGGCTATCTTGGGCTACATAGTAAGAACCAGGCCAACCTATCACAAAATTACAACAAAAAAAAATGAAAACTTAAAACCTTTGAAAAGGGAGCCTTGTAAGAGGGCAAGAGCCTCCTAGAGTTACGAACACAGACAAATTACCCTGTTCTAGTGTTGTTTCGGCTTCTGTGACAGAATACCCCATGCAAAACAATTTAGGAGCGGGAAGGGTTTGCCTGGCTCTCGGGTCCGGGTTACAGTCCATTACTGCAGGGGAATCACAGAGGCAGGAGCTACCCAGGGAACGGTGCTCACATTCAGGGTGGATGCTCCTAACAATTAAGACAGCTCCCCACAGACACGCCCACAGGCCGAGCCCATCTAGACAATTCCTCAGGTAAGACTGTCTTTTGGGGTGGTTTTAGGTTCTGGGAAGTAAACCTTACTTTAGAGATGGAAATCGAAGTCGTTCCAACTACACTTAAGTTTTCATTAGCACTCAGGGCCTTGCACATGCTAGGCGGGTGCTCTGCTGTTGTGCCCTACACAGCTCAGTCCTGGAAACATGACTGAGGTGACGTGGGAATGAAGAAATGACATGGGAAAGCTGGGGTTGGGTGGGCTGTGCTCACGCTGATGGAGGACACTCACAACACAGCCCCAAACTCGGCATGTTTACTGTGTACTACACAAGGGGCAGGGGTTGGCTAGTTTCAGTTGGTGGGGGGGGACCTCTGTAGGAGAGCAGTCTCTGGCTGTAAACATCCCAGATGAGGGCTGATGCTTTCTGTACATGCTGTCAATACTCAGACTAGAACCAGAGGAAGCTTTTGCCATGTCTATGGGCCTGAGACATTGGGGTCCTTGATATGGCCATGCCCATGTCATGTCATGGCTAGCAACCATCTGTAACTCGAGTCCCCAGGCATCCGACACCCTCTTCTGGTCTCCAAGGGTATGTATGCATGTGGTTTACAAGCCAACACTCACACACATAAAATAAAAACAAATAATTTTTAGAAACTATCTAGGTGGGATACACCAGCATGGCACTTGGTACCAGACTATTCATATTATTTTTTTTAAATTATGTATGTGTGCATGTATGTGTGTGTATATGTGTGCATGTGCGCGCATGTGCACGTGCGTGCATATGCACGTGAGTGTATACGTGCACATGCACCCATGGAAGTCAGAAGACGACTTGCAGGGGCCACTTTTCTCCTTCCACCATATTGATCCTGGGAATCACACTCAGGTTTATCAGCAAGCACTGTCAGCCGCTGAACCCTCTTGCTGACTTTGGTTGACACTCTCTTTTTCTCTCCTTCTCTCTGCGTTGAAATACCTACTTTCTATTATTATATGGTTTTTAACATATTTTATTAGTTCTTTGAGAATTTCATACATCCATACAATCCCCCCCCAGCTTTTCTCAGATTTATCCTCACCTCCTTACCCATCCCCCACACCCCAAATTTCATGTCCTTTTTTTTTTTTTTTTAATAACCCACCAAGTCCAATTTGTGGACTCAGGGATGTGAGTGAGGCCATCCACTGGAGTGCGGTTGACCTACCAAGGGCCCCACATGAAGGTCTTTTCATATGAAATAAGCCCTGTTGTGAAAAGAGTAAAGTCAGAAGTCCCACCAGTCTTCACTAGTTTTTATGTAAATTACAAAGGAAAGACATTCTTTAAATATTGAATAAACAGCTCCTAGACCACCCTCCTAACACCTTCTTCTACTATCACTTGGTGTAATGAACATCTGAATTCTTGATGAGGTGACCTTCTCTGGCATTGTGCGGTACAGCTTGCCCAGCCATGCTGAGTAGTCCTGAGTAGGTTTTCAAAGCAGCCAGGCATTTCCCAGGCGGAAGCCCTGTGACCAAACAGCCACAGGTGTCTCTAACACAGCCCCTGGGCTGGCTCACCACACGTCTATAGAGCCAACTTTAAGGAGACCATGTTTCTGCTGAAACGGGTTCAGGTCATCTATCCCCTGCAAGGACACAAGGTTAGCTGTCGAGCAGCCCCCTCCCCCCCACCCACACACACATGTTCTTGGTCCCATGGGATGAGGCTAAGCCAGAGGAACCTGATGTCAGGTGTGATGCATAGCTCTGCCGCTAAGGAGAACACTCTAAGGCCAGGCAGTTTGACAGCCTACATCCCTAGCCCTCAGTAGATTGCAGTAGGAGGGTCCCAGGCATCATCAAAACGGGGGAGGGATGAGGAATGGTTTTGTGAGACTCTCCTTCACATGAAGGAACCGGTAAGGAGTGGCCCACGGCTAAGGGTCTCACTTCCCTTGGCTTGGGGAAAACCAAAGGCATTCACGCAGGACTTGGTCAGACAGACAGCTTTGTCTGCAGGCCACTCTCGGCCAGGGGTACAGAAGGTGTGGGGTGTGGCAGTGTCCCTTATATTGATTGAATATAGCTGAGTTGGGGTATTCTTGATAGTTCAATGGACAAGAAAGACCAGAGGGGAAGTTTTGACGACTGTAAAATACAGAACACAGTGATCCAATAAGAACAAGAAACCAGAATTGCTCTGCAGAGGGATTTGGACAAGTGCTTGCAGGAAGTTTCCAAGTTTTTACATTGCTCCTCGGAGGGGGTCCAGGAAAAGCCAGAAGGTAGACGCTACCATAGCCTAACTCAGCCCCATCCCTCTGCTTGCCCCTTAAAGGTCTTCTACTTCCACAGGATGATACTGCCTAAGAGAGGGAAGCTGCTGCTGTTCCTGGCTTCTCAGATGGCAGTCATAGCTCTCTTCTTCCATGTGTCCAGCCATGGGGGATTGTTCCAGAGCGAAGAGCCCCAGAGGCCTGTGCACGTCCTGGTCCTGTCTTCCTGGCGGTCAGGATCCTCCTTTGTGGGGCAGATTTTTGGGCAGCACCCAGATGTCTTCTACCTGATGGAGCCTGCCTGGCATGTGTGGATGAGTTTCACCACCAGCACCGCCTGGAAGCTGCAGATGGCGACTCGGGACCTTTTGCGTTCCGTCTTCCTGTGTGACATGAGTGTCTTCGACGCCTACATGAAGCCAGGCCCCCGGAAACAGTCCAGCCTCTTCCAGTGGGAGCAAAGCCGGGCCCTATGCTCGTCACCTGTGTGTGACTTCTTCTCTAGTGACCAGATCAGCTCCCCGAACAACTGCAGGATGCTCTGTGCTCAGCAACCCTTTGATATGGTGGAGAAGGCCTGCGGCTCTCACAGTCACGTGGTACTCAAGGAGGTGCGTTTCTTCAACTTGCAGGCCCTTTACCCACTGCTCACAGACCCTTCCCTCAACCTGCATGTCGTACACCTGGTCCGAGACCCCCGGGCCGTGTTCCGATCTCGGGAACACACCAAAGGAGACCTCATGATTGACAGTCGTATGGTGCTGGGGGAGAATTTGAAAATGATCAAGGAGGCAGACCATCCCTATTATGTCATGCAGATCATCTGCAAAAGCCACGTAGACATAGTCAAAGCCATCCAAGCCCTGCCCGAAGACCTGCAGCGGCGCTTCCTGCTCCTGAGGTATGAGGACCTGGTTCAGGCACCCCTGGCCCAGACCTCCAGGCTATACGAATTTGTGAGGTTGAAATTCTTGCCGCATCTCCAAACCTGGATTCACAACGTCACCCGCGGGAAGGGCATGGGCCAGCATGCCTTCCACACTGGCTCCAGGGATGCCATCAATGTCTCCCAGGCATGGCGTTGGTCCTTGCCTTATAAAAAGGTTTCTCAACTTCAAGATGTCTGTAGTGAGGCTATGGATTTGCTGGGATACCTTCAGGTCAAATCCCAACAAGAGCAAGGCAACCTGTCTCTGAATCTTCTGTCTTCCTCCCACACCTTGGGAAAAGTCTACCAAGAAGGCTTAGGGGATCTGTCTGCATCAGATGGTTCCAGCCTCAGCCACCATTAAATGATCCCAAGCCTTAACAGTATCAACAGACGAGCAAACAGAAGAGTCTTTGTGTCTGTACTCAGATCTACACTGCATCTGAGCCTAAAGCCAAGAAACAATCTCTTTCTCTCTTGAAGAGACAGACTCGGGAACCTTGAGCAGCCCCTTCAGCCCACCGAGTGAGACTGCCACCCTCCTTCTGGACTGGAGACCCACTAGACACACCAAGCAGCATCCACAGAGCAAGTCCATAAACCTCCCTGTCCACGTCCCCCCAGTGAGAAAGGGGGAGACTAAAAACCAGGGAACCGGGGCTTTCACCAAAGGGCTCCCAGCAACTTCTGCAGAGACCCGGACTCAGAGTTCCCAGCACATTCAAGGAAGCAGGAGCAGGGGTGGTCGCTCACCTGTGAGTCTGCCTATTGCACTGTCAGTTACCACAAACAGGAAGCAAACACCCCGCCCATCCAGACCAGCGCTCAAGTTCACAGTGTGGTTGGTCTGGACGGCGGGAGTGGACAGCGTCTCTCCTCAGTGTTTTCCTGACATCTGTTAAACTGCCCTGCAGCGATATGAAAATTGCAACCCAAGCTTCTGCTTCCTCTTGGATGTTTTCTAACTACCAGTAGCCAATTCTCATGAGGCTCTAAAAATGGACATAATCATCTTTGTAGAGTTTTTTTATTGTCTTTTGCTATTATCTAACATATATAAAAAAACCACTACCATTTTTGGAGTCAGATGATGAATTGAGCCTCTGTTGCCTTAAGAATTGGTGGAGGGCAGCTGCATTAGCTGAACACCATTGCAAAAAGCAACTTTGGGGAGAACAGATTATTTGGTTTATAATCCCAGTGGGTACAGTTCATCATGGTGGGTAAGGCATGGTAGCAGAGGTGTAAGGCTAGCATATCATATTTCACCCACACACAGGACACAGAGAGAAGAACAGGAAGTTGGGCCAGGCTGTAAAACCGGAAAACCCACCCCCCAGTGACACACTTCCTCCAGCAAGGCTCCACCCAAAAGTTCTGTGACTTTCCCAAACAGCACCACCCACTGGGGACCTAGTGGTGAACTACATGAGCCTATGTGGGACATTGTATATTCAAATACAACGGCGACAACCAGCAACTCAGCCCTTTCCTGTGCGATGCATGCATTGTAACAATGTGTGGATCACTTTGGGAGCTCTGCACGTGATTCTTTTATGAAGGCCTCAGTTCTAGCCTTCCTCTCCTCCCGTTACTAATGGTTGTCTCCCCTAATACGGAAAATTGTTTCTCCCAGTCTTTGCAGATGTCCCCAGATCCAGCTGTGCTTTGGGACCACCTTGTACAAATGCACACAGCCAAGTGCTTCCTCAAGGCTGGTGGGATCAGAGCCTCTCGGTGTGGAATTCTGGATGCTCATCCCACTGCCCGGCTGGCTGTCCAGGGCCTACTCACCTCCTGTGGCACAAGGTGCCTCCTATGCTAGACAGCAGCAAGATTCACTTCCTGCCTCCAAGACAGGCTAAACACATGTCTTTCTATAGGAAGTGCCGGAGAGGTGGCCCAGAGGTTAAGAGTATGTACTCTCGGAGAGGACCTGAGTTCAGTGTCCAGCACCTAGGTTGTGTGGCTCTCACAATTGCCAACTTAAGGATCTGGATCTCTTTTGTGATGGACACCTGCACAAGCATTGTATACACACACACACACACACACACACACACAGAGAGAGAGAGAGAGAGAGAGAGAGAGAGAGAGAGAGAGAGAGAGACAGACAGACAGACAGACAGACAGAGACAGAGGTCAAAATTCTCTCCCACCATTCTTCTGAGCAGCAACGGTGTGCTCCATCATCTGAGATACTTGAGTATCTAGCTGCCTTTACTAGCAGGGTTGGTTGGAGTTAATTTATGTACCGCTTCAGAGGAGAAAATTTATTCTACCATCCACATCCAAATAACTCCCGGAACTCCTCAAGAGCTTAGGACCTGGGGCTGGAGAGATGGCTTAGTTGGTAAATTGCTTGCCACACAGGCGCAAGGACCTGAGTTCAGAGGCCCAGAACCCATCTTAAACCCTGGGCGTGATGGTGGGCGACTGGACTCTCAGTGCCACTGCGCGGGAGCGGTAGATCCCTGAAGCTCATTGGCCAGCAAACCTGACCAATACAAGCTTCAGGTTCAATTAGAGACCTCATCTCAAAAAATAATGCATGGGGGCTGGAGAGACAGCTCAACACTCCGGAGAACTGACTGTCCTTCCAGGGGACCTCGGTTCAGTTCCCAGCACCCACATGATGGCCCACAACTGTCTGAAACCCCAGTCCCAGAGGGATCCAAAACCCTCTTCTGGCCTCCAAGGCATGCATGTGGCACACAGACATGCAGACAAAACATCCATATGTCTAATAAATAAAGTTAAAAAATAAAGTGGAGAGCAATAGGGAACTTCAACTACAATTTAACAGCATTTCTATCTATAATTTCTGTGTGGTTTCACTTTCGATGTAACGACAGCAATTGATAACACTTTAACAAAGTTTAATTAAAACTATTTTATTTTCAACGTGTGAATAGTGTCTCTATAAAGGTAGACTCAGTTTACGGTGATTTTTGTACAAAATCTGACCTGGTTAACCTGTAATATTTTTTCAAGTTATAGCTTATAATTTACTATATGACTTGTTATGCCTAATCCTAAACATAATGTTTGTGTGTATATTATCATAATTCTATTGAATTACTTTTACCGACTAAGAAAGCAAAGTTTGTTAAATGAGTAGGTGTGAGTGGCATGGGCCACTTGGTGATAAATCTGACAGGCATTAGTCAGGAGAGCCCGGCACACCGGTCCTCCCGCAGACAGTCCCAGAATTGTACCACTCTTCTCGAAAACGTCTCTGGTGCTCCAGAGGAAGAATGTTCTCTAAACATAGTATTGCAGAAAAGTAGTTACCCATAGCCCGAATCTAGATATGACATCCTGCTAAGTACGTCTTTACTCATCCCATACACGTAACAGGCACTACCGTATGCCAAGGAGTGTCAGCCTGTTTGTGGGGATGGGAACAAACGATAATCGGGTCTGTGTTAGTGCAGACACATGGCCAGGGAACAAGGAGGGTGCTATGGTACAGAAGTCTAAGGTTCATTGTCTCTGAGGGAGAGTCTATCTGGAGATAAGAGATGCCATGCAGACACCTGGAACAGACATCCTGGCAACACCCTGGCAATGTCAGCCTAGACAGAGTCCAGGAACGTCTATGAGGGCTGTGACGCTCTCAGTAATGATGGTCTCATGAAAGATAAAGAAGGACAGGCCTGGCAGGAAGGACAATAAACTGGGAGGTCATAAACCCGTGGCATTGTACCGCCTGGTGACTGTACCGGCAGCTGGTTCCTCCTGTCTCCATGTTCTCATTCATGAGCACGGGGTGGGGGAGGGGGGGTTTGGGGTAGCATAACTGCTTCACTGCTTGCAGAGGGCATCCTTAGTGAGCACTTACGGGTGTTAGCTGTGAGGGAATGCCAGGAGGCTAACACAGCACCAGGCAGCCCAGGCAATAATGAGCCCTAGCTGAGCCAGGCTGATGGACACATCAGCATCCCTTCCCAGTGTTGCCCATCACATGAAGGAGACTGATTATGATTCCCTGGGTTTTCTACAACAGTGGCTCACGACAGGAAGTGGTTGTATCGCAGCTGCCGCCGCCGCCTCCACTGCAGCCTCCGCGGCCACGGCGTGTGTTTTAATATTTTTTCATTGCCATGCAGTGATTGTGCACTTCTCTCTGGGGAATGTGGAATTGTCACAGTTAGGTAGGGGTACCACTGACATCAGTGGACACTGGAAGCTGTGCACAGGGAGGCTTCCCAGAGGAGAAAATCATCCGGTTCAAGGGAACATGCAGCCACTGAGAAACCCTTCTCCACGAGGGTTTCTCTTGATCTCTTCACTCCCATCCAAGTGAATGAGCGGCCAGCCTGCTGATGTCTGGACTGGAGACAGGACAGACCCAAGGTTTTGAAGCCTTACTTAGTCACCTCTATAAAGTGGTAGAGTAGGTCGGGAGAGGGCCAGTCGGTTTTCTTCTGGACTACAGCTCCTGACAAGTTAACCATGTTCTATTTGATGGCTTCACACCCATGAACATTTGAGGATCATTGATTTTGGACTCAGCGAGTTATTAAAAAAAAAAGCTGGAAATGGTGATACATACCTTTTATCCTCACAATTAGGAGGTAGAGGCAGGAGGATGTCTGAGTTTGAGATGAGCCTGGTCTACAAAGCGAGTTCCAGGACAGCTGGGGCTACACAGAGAAACCTTGTGTAGCTAGAGTTTTCCTGCCTGGCCCACAGTCAGGACAAATCTCTGTCACCGGCCAGTCCCACAGTCGCTCAGACCCGACCAAGTAAACACAGAGACTTATATTGCTTACAAACTGTATGGCCGTGGCAGGCTTCTTGCTAACTGTTCTAATATCTTAAATTAACCCATTTCTATAAATCTATACCTTGCCCCGTGGCTCGTGGCTTACCGGCATCTTTACATGCTGCTTGTCCTGGCAGTGGCTGGCAGTGTCTCCTTCTGCCTTCCTGTTCTTTCTTTTCTCCTCTGTTAGTCCTGCCTATACTTCCTGCTTAGCCACTGGCCAATCAGTGTTTTATTTATTGACCAATCAGAGCAACACATTTGCCATACAGACCATCCCACAGCAACCTTGTTTCAAACCTTCCCAAAAAAAGAAAGAAAGAAAGTAAACATAAAGTTGGAAGGGGGATGTGTGGAGATCTAGGAATTAGTGAGTAGGGGATGGAGACAATCAAAATATGTTGTATATATGTATGGAATTCTCAAAAGATAATTTTTCTGCATTTAAAGTACAGAGCTGTGTCATGGGAGGTGAAGAGAAGGGAGTTCAAGACAGAAGGGCAGGCGAGTGCCTGGGACCCACCCCTCACAGGTAGCTCTGGGCCCTAACCTGCAGCTCATGCCCACCTGCCCGCCCACCGGCCCGAATCAGAAGAGGAAAAGGCTTAGAGCGCAAACACGGTCCTTTAGAGTACTGCGTCAAGTGGGCAGGGCCAATGGAGGCGGAAGGAAGCGGGAGGCCAGGACGACTATCAGACACGCTGAGGACAGGGGACTCAGTCCTGGAGTCTCCTGGCACGGCACCAGTTTCCCTTTTTCCACAGTCACCCCTCACCCCTTCCTTTGCTGACCTTCTCAGCAACTTTCAACAGTCTGACTTTCAAAACAGCATTTTTACATTTCCTTATTTATTTGTGTGTGTATGGATGTGTGAGCAGATGGGTGAGTGGGCGCGGGTGCACACACACAGATGGTGAGTGGGCGCGGGTGCACACACACAGATGGTGAGTGGGCGCGGGTGCACACACGCCCCAGAATGCATGTGGAGGTGAGAAGGCATCTTGTGGGGAGTCAGTTTGTTCTCTTCTTCCACCATGTGGACGCTAGGGATGGATCGCTAGGGATGGGTCGCCAGGGATGGATCGCTAGGGATGGGTCGCCAGGCTTGGCCGCAAGCACTCCTATTTGCTGAGTCATCTTGCTGGCCCATCAGCAACTTTTAAACCTAACCCTCACCATCCCCCATGAAACGCTTACACCTCAAATTCCTCTATCTGCCACGCTCTGTGGCCCCTTGGGGGACACAACGACTGTCATTTCTACGTTTCTCGCTCCCTTCCCAGAACCCATCTCCATCCCCTTGGCTGTGACATCACCTCCACTGACAATGCGTGCTCGCCCCACTGAATCCGTTCTAGATCCTTCCCAGCCCCGCTAATGCTCCCTAGTCAACACCAATTAAACGTGACGAGATAAACCCACAGATGAGAGCAATTTTAAACTGGGGGGGAGGGGGAACTATGAAAATGTTAGTTGTTGGTAATGGCTTAGGATGATGACAAGCCCTGACTTCCACAGGCACACACTCATGCATGCACATACACACACACACACACACACACACACACACACACACACACAACCATACACTTGCAAGCATGCATACACACATGTACACATACCACATACACACTCATGCAATAAATACTGACTCTACCTACCAAGCAGAATCTTAACCCTTGGGGGGGGGTCACTGACCTTGCTGCCAAGCCAGCTTTCAACTTCTTACCCTATGAAGAAAACCATAAGGAAGCTGGTTTCGTGTTTGTGTTTTAAGTTTATGGCAGGAAACAGTAGGTGCAATGGGCACTTGGAGCTACAGTTCATAAAATCCAAGCTCATTCCAGAAAGACGTGGTCTTGCTTCGCCCAATCAATTTGATTACGAGGGTAACTGCAGGGAAGATAAACACTGGATGAAGCACAATAAATATCTCTGTTCTTTTCCCGGGGGCCGAATTGCAGGGCAGGAACCAAACTGTAAGAACGTTTTAGATGAGAGGGGGTGGGAGGGAGAATGAACAAGAACATTCTGGAGGCCTGAAGTTTTGAAATGCAAGTTTAACTGGACCCACTCTCCCTGTGAGAGCCTCAGCTATGCCCATAAGAAAAGAACAGATATGTCCATAAGGGTTTGCCCAAACACATCTGACTAAGAAAGATTTCATGTTCTCAACACTTCATATCTATCAGGACAGTGTTTGGGGAAAGGCCAGGCTTGGGAAATGCTGAATGTTTTCAGCCATGGTGAGCCTGGGCGGGCTTCACCCGCTGCTTTCTCCTTGCCTGCTCCCATCCCCAAGCCAGCAAGTGCCCAATGGGGGGGAAAAATCACACACCGAGACAGCTGCTTTCATGAGCAATTTTTAACAGTCCACTGCAGCACGTCGGAACCCTTGCCCTGCGCCACAAATCCTCCCGCCCTCTTTCGACTACACTGCACCCTCCCTTCTTCCCCCCTAAAAACACGGGCTAATGAAATTCCTCAACTCTCCTATGCCAAACATCTGAGTGCCCCTCCCCCTCCCTTCTAAGGCCAGTCCCACCCTTGGAAATGCCATCCTATACCCCTCCCACCTTCTGAAGAACCTCTCCTTTCTCAAGTTTACTCCCTTTCTTCTAAAACTCAGATCCTCTTCAGCTAATCCTCCTCTGTGGGTCAGTGTCCGCAATGCTCTCCCTTCTTGGAAAACAAAACAAAACAGAACAAAACTGCCCCTTTCCATATCCAAAGCCCAGCCCCTCTCCCCACCTGCTGGACCACACTGCCCTTGCTAGTCTCCAGAGCCATCCCCTTGTGCTGCCCCTTCGCCCATCACAATCTGGATTCACCACCTTCCCTCCACTGAACCAGCTCTCACTGACCACAAAAGTCAGATTCCATGCTGTCCCCCACTCTGGTCCCGGCAGTCAGCTGCGAACCTCTCCTCTGCTCTCCTTGAAAATCGGGTTTCTCTCCCACGTCCTCCTTCAACACCTGCTCTAGACATCTCTCCCGCCTCTGCCTCCTCTCTCCTTCCTCTCTCCCTCCTCTCTGCATCCTCCCTCCCCCCTCTCTCCTCCCTCTCT